CATGCTCAAAACAATAACATAATATACCAAAGGATACAGGAACATGTTCAGTGTATTTCCACTGGCCTCTAGGACAGTGATTTGAAGTAGCAAGTGAAAAGTACTGTATGTTTCTGTGTATAAGACACACCCCAATTTTTTAACCCAAAATTAAGAAATCAATATTTTAAACAAAAAACAGAACACATTTTTATTTAGTAATTACCACAGGTAATGTTTACATACCAGTACTATGATATTTTGCAGCATGTCACTTTATTCAGCCTCTGTTGCATCACTGCTCCCTTCTTCATCACTATTAGTTCCAAACATATCAGTATCTCCAACTTCTATTGTATCACTGCTGTCTTCTGAGTCACTGTCTATATAGGTGAGATCGTCCTCATAAACTGGTGGCATTTTCTGAGCTAACTTTGTTTCTGTTCTCATGGCCAACCCTTCTTTCCTCATAAAATTGAAGCACCATTTTGCCTTTCCTGTAAAATCAACAATGTTCATTTTGCTTGCAAACATTCTTGCCTGACTTGAATAAGCTTGGCCGACACACATAAGCCACTCTGGTGCTGCTCCATAATCCAAGTCTTAAGCCTCTGCTCCAAGTTTGCCCATTTTGCTGGTTTTCCTGTTAAGGCAGGGAGGAGTGGGCAAACTTTTTGACTCGAGGGCCACAATGGGTTCTTAAACTGGACTGGAGGGCCGGAACAAAAGCATGGATGGAGTGTTTGTGTGAACTAATATAAATTCAAAATAAACATCATTACATAAAAGGGTACGGTCTTTTTTTTTTTTTTAGTTTTATTCATTTCTAATGGGCCGAATCAGGCCCGCGGACCGTAGTTTGCTCGCGGCTGTCTTAAGGCCTTCTTTCTATCATCTTAAGGAGTTGATCTTCCTGTTTTCTCCACTGTCTGCTCATACCCTCAGTGGAAGGAGGTCCAAATGGTCTCTCTGCTGCTCTATTTCCATGCTCTTTTGCATAGCTGATTACATTCAGTTTGAATTTTGCAGAGTAAGATGATCGCTTACCAATATTTATCTTTTTATTTTTTGACATCTTTATGGGCTCAGAACCCTCTTGTCCCTGTTGCATCTGCGCACTGTCCACCTCCATGTCCACCTCCAATTATGGCATCAGCTGATGTCAGTAACAATAAGGCTTGCGATTGGAGGAAGCTTGTTTGACAAGGCATGGGCAGCTACACACCTGCGGGGCTCCCTCCTCAGCTGACTTCCGTGTGTAAGACACTCCTCGATTTTCAGTCTAATGGGTTTAGAAAAAAATAGCATCATATACATGGAAAAATATGGTACATCATAAAAATAAGACCTCATGAAGCAGACAGCTTCCCCCACCCCGACAGGTTTTTATAAGGCTTAACTTTAAGGATTCTGTGAGCCAGTGGCCTGCCACCAACATGCCTGAAGTTTCTAATTTGAGTCCTTGACTTGAATTAAGGGGCTATATTCATTGGGGTCCCAGTTAGCATGCAAATGTATAACATGCTAACCCAGATAATCATCCATTTATAATTTAATATGCTTTAGAATTGACAGTTTAGTTGATTTAGTTTCATGGAATATTCAGGAAAGTACTGATGGAAGTCAGGGGGTTGGGAAATATAATCATGGGCCAGAGTGTGTTCTAGGGTGGGCCCCTGAGCAACTAAGGAGCCATGTGAAGGCACTTGGGTGCCTGGGGTTTGGTACTGGGGGAAGGATCTCAAATGCAAACTTCATCTAAAAGATAGTTTTGCTTTAATTTAGTTTTTAGTTTAGCCCTGTCTGGAAAACCATGCTTTCTTGCTCCATGCCACATATCTTTCATTTCTCCTTCATAAGTAGTACATTTCAATAAAACTAAAGAAGACTTGAGTTTATGTCCTAACCCTGATGTTTACTAGTCAGCTGAAATTGGACAAATTACTAAATCTCTCTTTGCCTCAGTTTTCTCATCTATGAAATGGGGCTAAACATACGAAGGTCATTGTGAATGCCCAAATTAAAGTGAAATACATGACAATATGAGCTAAGCCTTGGACAATGAAAGTTGTTACTGTCTTTTTGAAGAGATGAACCATAGGCAGGTAGGCCCTGGAAACCTTGGGCCCTATTTTCCTGATTTCCTAGGCAGTTCACAAGGAAGTTTCACAAAGGAGGTGTGAGTCATTCTAAACGGTGTTGGAGCGAAGAGAGCAGTCATGAACATAGAGGTGAAATGGAAGATGGGAGGCCATAGGAGCAGTTAAACCAAGATGGAGAGAAGCTGAAGCAAAAACAAAGCAGGGATGAGTACCACATTTGCAAATAGGGTGAGGCATAGTTACAGAATAAGACCCAAGTTCAGGATGAAACTTGAGAACTCATGCCCCAGTCTAGTGGGTTGTTTGACCAGGACAACACATAGACCTGACAGATGATAAAAAGTTGCCAACTGTTTTCTCAATAATTGGTATATATACAGATTGAATTCCAAACAAATTGGAAGAAATTCTAATTTAGTTATTATGCTTTTCATAATCCTCTTTCCTTTTTTAGTTTTGATAAAGGAATTAATGTATATTCCTTCAAGGCCAGGGATTAAATATTTTAATCACTCATAGTACATTACACTCAATAAATACTGATTATTGATGATAATATAAATACTAGTATTCCTTGCAGCCCCTGAATGATGGATGAACAAATCACTCCAACACAGGCTGTGGGCTCGATCCTCAGTCGGGGGCATGCAGTGGGCAGCCAATCAATGATTCTCTCTCATCATTGATGTTTCTCTCTCCCTCTCTGAAATCAATAATAATAAAAAAAAGATATAGTCAAAGTTTCTACATTGTTATGTCTTTTTAGTTTTTTTTAAACTGGAATAGTATCTTACTTTTATTTTCTCTTTATTACATTAAATTTTGAAAGGTCCAGGCTACTTTTCTTGTAGTATTCTGTGTTTGTCTGATTGTTTTCTAATGATGTCACTTTACCTGCTCTATACCCTTCCTTTTTTTTCCTATAAACTTGATGTAAGTCTAGAGCAAACTTTTTCATCTCATGGCACACATAAACTAGTTACTAAAATTCTGTGGCACACCAAAAAAT